TGTCTTATTGATATCCATTTTGAAAGCATTACTTTTTCCAAACAGTACACCAGGTGTGCGTACCCAGGATTCCCAAACATTTGATTTTGTTGCATCTAACCACCAGTATATGAAACCCACCAAAACTGTCTTTGGGCAGCCATGAGAGGGTTGGATTCTGAGAAGTACCAGAAATTGCACCTATTGCATTCTTGAAATAGTACAAAACATTAACTTCGATAAACTCCCCTCCCAACAAGTGAAAAAAGAAAACAAAAGATTAAAACTTTTATTGCCCTAGCTGTAGCCTTTCCTTTACTTTTTCTGCTTTTAAAATTCACAGTTGTCAGTATGGTTGCATCTCAGAGACTAAACATACATGTACATCTATGTGGTTTAAATGAATTTGATCCAAGGAGAGTGGATTTGAAGAATAGTTTGCCCCAAAAGGAATACCGCAAGGCTGAAATCAGTGTCAGAAATTTGTGGGTGTCGGTAAGTGTAGCTGGTTGCAGTTGGAAACAACATTAATTATCCTGAATGATGAAATAAATGGAAATGAAACCTTAGAATTTCACTGATGTTAGCACAGTGCCAATTCTGAGGATGACGCATACCAACCTAGCGCAGGTTTCTTTGATGGATACTTTCAAGGATACCATGGGTAAGGTACATATGTTACCAGTGTTTAGCTTAGAACTCCCCATAACTGCTGAGGAGGATGGATCCCTCCGCAAGCTTTTAGTCCCTCAAAATACATTTTAATTAATTGTTGAGGCTTTGTCAAAACCTATGTGTGTCAACAGTGCACACCAACACCCCAGCAAAAAGTTGCCCCATCAGTAGTGTGCGAGTCAGTGATTCATTCCAAAGGTTCCTGGAAATCGTTTGAACAAAGTGGCACTTTTCTAGCTGTGAAGTTGTCATCCGAATGGATTGAACCCAACACGCTTAAAGTTTAGTGCTGCCACAACCAATATTGTAACCCAGCATCAACTTGGCGAGTACGTGGACATGGCTTGCAGATGGGCACGGTACCTTAAAAGGTAAAGTTGTTCAAGGCTTTCCTGATTGGCCAAGCCGCCACAAGGTACACAGTTGAGTAATAGCCCCCAGTCCCCTCTCCCAACTGTCTGATTAACCTCAAAAGCATGCGCCACACCAGCCAACAAGGATGACAAAATCACGCGGAATCCACTGAAACACCAAGTACCATAGGCCGAGCTGGTCGTCGCAGGGACACCCAGACCCAGAGCTCCAGCTCCCCAAGTAGCGACAGAGAAGCCTGGTCCAAACAGTCACGTTCAGCGGATGAATAACCCGAGAAGAGGAAAAAATATAATAGTAGCTACTGTCAACGCTTCTTCCCACTCGCTCTCTGTCTATTTATAAAAAGAGAAGAAACTGTGACTCGGCCTGCCTGCAATGGTCCCTGCTGCATGTGGCATTAGTCAGCTATGTGGCATGCCGGTTGGTCATGGTACCCGGGATCGTGGGGCACGTTTCCTGGCTCGGGACGCGCTGGCTTGGGCTCCGCCACTGATGTCGGTTGTTGTCTGAGTTTGCATTACCAGAGGCTGTGCAAGATCACCTGTTCCAAGTTGGCGGCTGAGCAGTGCAGTGCCGAGCAGACCTCAGTGGTGAGTATGTATCGTAGGGTTACATGGGAAACGAAATGCGTTCAAATCGTGGTTGATCAGAGCTTAGGTAATGGTGGTGATCTTTGATATGCTGTATTCAGCTGTTACCTGTGCACCAGTTGGCATGCTGTACTATGCTATTTGGAGCGGTTAATGTGTTGGCTCTACATGTTTGTGTAGGGAGTCAGACTTCACGGACTGTTGTTGAAGGTAAGTCGGACTGCCTGAGGTCCATTCTGAGCTGAGATGGTAGTCTGGGCTGATTGTCAGGTTCCTGCCATTACTGTCAATCACATGCTTTGAGCCAGACAGCGTACATGTAAGTTCATTCTGTTATGTGTTTGCTATCCCTTCTCTGTGAAATGGCGGAGTTTGCAGTGGGCTTCTCCACCCAAAGCTTGGACATGACAGGCAAACTGGACAATGTATCGGAAGTCCTGCTTTTAATAACTCACCCCAAATCTGCCAGAATCCAGTATGCTCCAGTACTACGGTATGAGGACTTCAAGACTGCACAGCCTATTACATTGCTTTTCAGAGGACATGTCCTTGGTTTCTACCATCCACAAAGGGAGTTTTATAGCAAAAATGCCTTGGTCGTTATGTCTTTAAGTACAGGTGCAGTGTATATGTACATAAAATGGTAGCTTTCATTAAACACACAATTTGTGTGTAATATGCATGAAACTTGAACAGACTGCTAGCAATATTACCTTGTTCGTTCACTGTAGGCTAGGCCAATGCAATGCAGTTACATTGCTAAAATGCCCTGAGGACCTTTGTATATTGCTCAGTTTTATGTTTCTTGTCAAAACATATCCAAAGACTTATTTTAGGTGCTCTGAACAAAAATGTGTGGAATTTTGAAATCGTTGTGTTCAGAACTCTGACAAGCAAAAACCCACAATGCATACTTGTAGGTAAAAACCCTTCTATGGTTACAGTTGGCAGCAACTAGCCAGTTGTATTGATGGGGCACTGTAATCTTTATAACGTCTGTCCACACACAACCACAGTCAGTAACCACATCCCAAGCTACAGTGTACATGTCTGAGCATCCTGATTTGGCCTTGGTTGAAAGTTGGGCATTCTGAAAGTTCCATCAAGTACTTTTAAATGGCAGCATTACAGATCTTGTCAGTATGCTAAAGATTTCCTCAATATGAAAACGCACGTACCTGCAGTTCTTTTGCCTAAATTGGAAATGACCTTGAAATACTTTCATTATATCCTGTGAAGCATGCAGTGAGCCTTTGTGAGCCTTTTACATGTGTACATAAACTTTGGCTTTTTTTACTGGATGAATCATTTTTGGAAAAAATTAAGCACTTGTGCCTCTTCCGGCAACAAAATAATGAAACATTCTGTCTACTGTCAAATTGGAGAGTTCTGAAGAGTCCAAAATAAGCTTCGGAGAGATAGAGCATGTAAGATAAGAGCATGGTACGACAGGAGGGAAGGTTATGAGGTTGCCCCCAATGACTTCCCCCTCCCAAGAGGATAAATGAAAATTGGTGGGGGGGGGGAAGGAACAGAAGACACAGTCACATGACCCAAGTCTGTCTCAGTTTGTGTGTGTGTGTGTTTGTGAGACTCTGGGTGCGTATCGTATATCCGACGCCTCATAGGCTCGTAACGAGCGTCAAATCAAACGTCGAGGCGTCAGATTTTTTGAGGCGTTGGATCTATTCCATGGGCCCAAAAAAAAGTTAGAGCTTTTAAATACGTTTGTCGGACTTATGGACTTTTTAAACGCTTTTTTCGGACTTATGAGGTGTTGGAATTATGAGGCGACGGACTTACGAGCTGACCCCGTGACTCTAACTTAACTGAAGCCACAGTGGCAAAAGCATGAGAGTCTGAGATTCAGACTTGGCTATCACAACGTTGACCTCACACTGAAGATTTGTGGCGCGTGAGTCACATGCATGTAGTCTTTGGTATGATCAGCACCTGTTGTTTTTTAACATTAAAATCCGGAATCGGATGTTGCCTTTCCAATCATTACGGCAAGGACTTTTGATCAGTAGGAGTTCAAAACAAATACTCAAAACACAAAAAGGTACTCACTGCTATACTTGGGTGTTGTGATTGACAGTTGTCTTGTGATGAGCTTGCTGTTTTGTTGATTAATGCTAAGGATTTGGGATGGATGCTTGGAGCTGTTCTGTGCACTCGATAGTACATCTACGTGTAAAGTTTAGTCTAATGACTATAACAAGTGATATATGTTTTGGACAAGAACTCCAACTGAGTTGTCTGAAAGCACACAGGCTGTGCAGGGACTCAGACACCAAATCAAACCATGTTACCCAAATTTAAGTGTGATAAAAGAGATGTGAAGGCATCATATTTGAGATTTCCCATGACAATGATTTTCTAGGTTTCCCCCCTATGAAATGATCCTTTCCATAATGTCGTGTTGCTGAGCACATGTATACAGTGTAAGAAAGCGATGACGCAATGTCCTCCTGTTTTGGTACACTGTGTGGCATTTCACGATAAGAACGACACCTCACCGACACGGGTCATTTCGCACATTTACACATCCCGAACTTGTTGATGTTATCAAGCCCCTTTTCACACTCTCGGTTACGTAAATTAGGAAGTGGTTCGTAAACAGCTTTGGAGCAGCTGTCAAGGGGCAATTATTGTGCCACTGGACAAAACTATCTGGAGAATTGGCTGAACTTTGAAACAGGTACTCCTGTTAATGCCCCCCCCCAGATCTGCGGACACAATTGGTGACATACTGTGGTTTTTCATATTGGGATAAGCTCAGGGCATGTAAAGGTCAGTAATCGGAAGCTAATTACAGCAGACTTGGGGTCCTAATGTCAGAATCCTTTTTTCCAAAGAAAATGGTCTGGTAAAGTAGGTCACTCTCTTTTTTGTAACCATTGCTTTTTAACTGACCCAGGTTTGAGCTCGCGACATGTTTGGAACATTGAGTTGCTGAGGAGCTTGCATTGTCTGATCTCCTGTCTTGAAACCCAGCAAACTGTGACAAAAAGTCTGACAACTTGATTTCTATTTGTTTGAGAGAGAGAAGTTGCATAATTATTCACTGTGTAAATTCCCTGGACACGATGAAGCAACATTTCATGAACTCTGGCCACAGTGCTGTGTTCATGAAATTGTAGAGTGTCAGTCATTTTCTATAACATGCCCGCAGAAGACAACACCGACGCAAAACCAATTTGTGATTCTTGTTGAAGTTTTTCTGGGTATGTTTTAGGAAGCTTCAGAAACCAGTATGGATCACAGAGCATATTAATCTGTAAATCAAATTCTGTCGCTTTGCGAGGAACCAGTGAAAAATCTTTGAGACCTTGAAACATCACGGTGGGTTTTCTTTTCGTAATTTGTGTATCATTGCAGCCGTACAAAGATGATGTAAACAACTCGTTAGCGTCAGGCAGACACGATGGAGTCATAGTGTACAGAGGAATCTCGAGAGAAAAACACAAGGTAAATTGTCACTTTGCTGAACCATTGCACTACCAGCAGCAGGCAGCCAGGCTTTTTGATGTGGTCCATGCTACCTACATACATGTATGCACATGTACATGTACATGTACAATTGAAGGTTGTGTGAGTGGAGTTCGCAACCTATTTGTGAGTTCCATGACCCATGTTGCACTTCATAGTCCTCATGCAGGGGTTGAACTTAGACTCCAAAAGTGCTCAGACTTTGTCAACTTATTAACTTGCACTCTATGGAAAGTCACAGTGTAACAGCATTCACTGTCAACTTGTAATTGACTATGGTTGATGTGTAACTGGCCAGATGCATGTCATCAGTGAAACTCTTGGCCTGAACATTCTGCATGATTATTCAGGAAAGTTGATCAGGCACCCCTGTATCAATTTGGACACATGACTTGTCTAGAATTCGCCTTTATTGTTGACATGTTTCTTAATACTAGAAGGTGTCCTCAGCCTGCTAGCCTTCCTGGGTGTTTTGAAAAATAAAGTGTGCCTTCCCCCACCTTAGGCTAGCCATAATCTGTTATCATTTAAACCTAAACCCTTGCACTGTCAGTTATTGCAAGTTCACAACCGCCAGTGACCTTTCTCTTTCTGACATTTATGTTTCCGGTTTTGTTTTTTTTCAAAGTAAAGTTTTCAATCCCACAGGAAGGAAGCATCAGTTTGTTGTCTTTAAAAACATTTTTTTTTATCACGCCACATATTGAAACAGTTGAGAACTTCTTCATTTACCCCTGGGTTTTGACAGAAGCACATAATCCCTCATGGAATGTTCCCCCTCGGGCACTATAACCAGATCCTTTCTCACAGAAGCGACTTCCTTTGTGCACTTGCCAAAACGTTTCCATCATGGACTTGAACAGTTGACTGGCATCCACATACCGGTACCCTTACCAGGACCAGTAGATCTCTCCTTTGTTTACAAACATTGACCATTATTTTGTATGGGTGGCCAAAGTTTGTAAAAGGTTCTCCTTTAGTACACAGCAGTTTTGCCTCAAAATCCACTTTTTTTTAATGACTTTAGAAATAAAAGGTATTCTTCATTAGGTACTTAGTAGAAATGCTTCTCTTTTCAGGGGTGTAATATTTGAGCCACATTTTGATTACTTTTAAAATTATTTTGGGTTTTGTACTCATGGCCAGCCATAGTTTTGCCAGCCGTGGTTTGCAGGATCTGTACTTGTGGTTTAGCAAAGGCCTTGTTTGTCTCACACAGATCTACATAAATCATGATCGGTTATCTGTCTTTGGTTTACAGACACCAAAACTCACTTGATGGATGGTGTGAACTAGTGTAAGGATCACTGATCTTGATCCAGAACCGTGTGAAACAAACAGGCCCAACAAAAAGGTCTTTAGACCTGAATTCACAGGGAAGCCATTTTTGATAGTGTTCCCAGAATCATATGCATTGTAATCTATTGTTTGAATGGGGTGGTGCCAGACTGTTTTAGGTTCTAGGCCTCACTCTCATGTTTTTTAAATGTGGCTTAAAACATTTAGATATAATTTATCACAAATACTGTGCACCAAGTGTGCACCAGCATAAATGACATCAAAGTGTATTGCAACTCTAGTTCCTTACTTAATCGTGCTGTGGTTCTCAAAATAAAAGGTCAGCCTCCCTCTCAACTTAACATGGCTGACTTGTGAAAGGGCCAATTCTGAAAATGTTGCCCAGTGCAGCAGACAAAGTAACCTTGTACAGAAAAACTGAGTTTGCTCATTAAGGGGTACGAAACAGACCAAACATCACAAACTCTTCAGAACATTCCCCTGAAGACAAACAGAAATATCATTGCATGAAAAATGTTGATGTGAACCACTCTCTGGCCAGAGTGACCTCCATCTACAAATTAATTTCCAGTGATGCAGTTCGTGGACCCAACTTTCAAAAGAGTAAATTACCTTTGCTTTCGTATTAATTGTGCAATATCCCAACGTAAAACTTGTGGGATGTTGACGAATTGAGAGGGTTAAAAACTGTTTTTCAAGTGGTATGTGTGTGTTTTTTAATGTCATAGTTATCCTTCAAATGTACATGTAGGTTCCATTTTTGTACCCCCTTGTGGAATGTGGAAAAATTGTGATTATTCATCACTGCTGACAAACTTTAGACAAGCTAAATCCAGTTTGGAGAATTTCCAATGAGCATCTTGCAAATGTTGCAAGCATTGCATGGAGTCAAAGTCAAAAGCTGCTTTTTAAAATCAAGTTAAGGTCAAGCCTAGTCCAGTCTTTCAGTCTGGTTAATGTTAAATTAAGTGCATTTGCTGCAGATTACGATGAGTGATGAGTCAGGAGCAAGGATGGCTCAGATTAAACGTTAATGGTTTAAAGAAATACATGTATAATGATGATGGGGCTTCTGTTTTCCAGTGCATTATCATTGAGCCATCATTGCTCCAACATGCATGTGACATATGCAGCTGTGAGTACAGATTTGACATGAGGCAAAGTCCCACAGGCTGGCAGAGATAGATGAGAGTGGGGAATTGTCACCAACAGCTGATTGCGCAAGATACCGTTTTTCACCTCATCCATCATTTCCTTTTGGGTTGGCTATGTGATTTACACACAAAGAAAGCATCAGAAATACATGACACACACACTTGCTGCGAACTGCACAGCGTGTGATTGGGCTTGAGTTTTCCGTGTATGTTCACATGTTTGAGCACTGGTTTTTTTTTGAGTACTCCTCTGCTTCAACAACCCAAGCTGGAGCATGTCTTTCTGGATGTGACACGGACGGCCCTCAGGGGCAGCCAGGAAAAAGGATATTGTGTACAGCAGTGGAGTGTTGGGAGTACAAGTCATTCACACCTTAACTTACATTTCCTGCAACCTGGCTGGCATCATGCAGTAGATCTGATAGCAAACACACAGGTGCTGGCAACAGGGCGGGGCCGTTAATGTCACTCTCCTCATTTTAAGGCTGTGTGAAAAGTTGAGGCCGGGTTTAAAGTAAGACTGCTCTGTCCATACCTTCAGAAGCAATAGCAGAAAACCAGTCTATGATAGAAAAGTACATTTACAGCTGCATATTACAATAATGGATATTAACCCCCTAGGGACCATTGAAATCCTTCAGAACCTTGTTGGGTTCAGCATGGTTAGTGTTAACTCATGGCCATGTTTGTTATGCCCTGTTATATGTGCATGTTGTACATAATGCGTGTTGTTCGTTGTGCACTGTTGAGAAGAGGTGTTTTCTGAAAGAATGGGTAACCTAAGGTAAAGGATTAATGAGTGTTTTGACCGCTGTTCACTTGAGCCAGTGTTTGGAAAACCAGCCACCTGGGGCAAGCCCAATCAGTCGTACCATCCACCTGGCATCTTGTCTCTCCCTCTTTCCCTGCCCTCAACCCCTCCCCTCCCCAAACCCAGCCATCTTAATCTTCCAAATCTCTCTCTTCCTAAATGGCGAACCACCAGCCGCTGCGGCGACGCCACTGCCAAACTCGCAAGGGTCGAGCACGGATTAGCAACTGGTTGGAACAGGAAACCGAGATGATTTTGCCCTTTTCTGTATACATGTGTCTCTCTCTCGTAAGGGAGGAGGGGGACTAATTTGTTTATCTGTGTCTTTCATCTTCCTCATCTCTAGGGAGAATCAGTCTGGTGTTAATTATGGGGAGGGGGTTCCCGATTTCTAGCCTGCTCCCGAGGAAGTCTTGGTTGAATTTGTGGCATCCTAAAACTCTCCCTCTCCCTCTCTCAAACAAAATCTGTTTTTCCTCGGAAAAAGTTCAGGGCCATGGATAACTCTAGCCATCAAGGTCGGGGTCATGCATCTTGATTCAATCAACAGGGTGCACGTGCGGAGCTCCTCATGTGCTGCAGTTCCTGATTTCAGTTGAACATGGTTACATTAAATCCCGATGGAGAACTTCTCATGCAATTTTCCTCTGAACCTGTACCCATACATGTACATGTAGCTTTTCTTTCTTTGGTTCCTTTCAGTTGATCATTTACTTACACACGTAAGTGCTCAGAGAGCTGTTCCTTGTGCATTACGTTCTTGGGAGAAGGGCATTTCCCTTTCAGTGCTGTCTAACCCAAGAGGTTGTGACGTTGGACTAGTTAACCAACATTATTACTGACTTATTGCAACTCTTCTTTTTATTTGCTTAGGAAGTGCGTTGATTCAGGCACCAGCTGTCACTTTGAGCAAATAGCTCATTTTCTGTGCCAGGATAGAGCTTGCACTTGAGGCAGGCCCACCTGCCATACCACCCTGGTTTGCCACATGGAGAATGTTGAGGCAAGATACGACTACAAGCCTGATTGCCAATTACACAGTCTGCAGAGGCCTTAAAGAGAGCTAGATCACTGCACACCTGTCTGTTAGTGTTTGCACATGTAAAGGCCAGCCATTTGTGACTGGGGCTCGCAAACTAGTCAGATCTTGCCAGAATGAGTATGTTGGTTAATACCCGCATTGAAAACATAACTGACTCACTGTGTAGTGTGATTTGATGAATTTTCTGAAAATTTCCTGAAGAACAAGAACTGAGTTCTGTTAATTTTTTTAAAATGAGGGGGGGTTTTGTCGATGAAAGTTGACTTTTTTTCAAGGAGAGGGGTGATTCGACGGGGATTATTGTCCAAGACAACAGTGAATGAGTAAGGAGTGTACATGTAACTTTGCTAAACTTCTTACTCCCTTGGTTTTGGAATGCAGTTCCTGTTGGAAAAGGAAGGATTTTTGAATGAATTATGGTGTTTCTGTGCACCTCTTTAGTGCAGACTATCTCCTTTGAAGGTTTCTCTACTTTTTTGAGGTCATGTTCCATGTGCCTTTGCTCCTTTACCTTGCGATGTGCACGTCCATGTATCCAAACAGGGAAAGGACTTGTACCATTTTAAATTGGGAAAGAACTCGTCAGAATGAGCCCGATCTCTGCTTCTGTCAAATTGAATGAACCTGCTCCCTGCTTCCGTCAAATTGAGTGAACCTGTGCTCAGTTTGACTTGGGGGAATTCTGTAGAAGGAGTTGTAAAGCATCCAGTCGGATGTAAGTCATCCAATTTTACATCAGATGAATGCAAACCAAGGAGGTAGCCCCTTGTCGAAGGGGCGTCATGGGCTCAGGAGAGATATCGTCTGATTCTACGAAAACTTGGAGTAGAAAGCACCGCATTTCTGTCTGTAATTTATTCCATTAATCAGCCCAACATATTCAGACTTTTGCAGTGGTGGCATGTGATCCATACTACCCAAATGCTGGACTTTTTAGGGGAAATGTTCTGTCTGTTATTATCATCATTCTCTTGCAGTTGAATGAGTCAAAAGTCGGAGGGAATTGGAACCTTGCTGAAATGTGGCCAGGGAAATGCACCCCACTTGCCAAGTCAAGAAAAATAGTTCTCAAACATATACTGCCCTCCCCAGGTACCTCAAAGGTAATTTTGGCTTTCCACATCACCTTACTTGCCAGAAGTTAAGTTGTGGGCAGGGAGGCCCACCGTGTCCCTCGGGACAGCTAGAGAAAGCCATGCGTGGAACATTTATAGATCTGGTGACAAACATACAGTCAATTCCTCTCACAGGAAATATTCACAAGGGTGTGTGTCACACACGCCCTCCGTGCAACAGGATGTACAGAACATGAAACCTTGTTTTGTTCCCCTTTCCTGCGCCAGTCCGTGAAGGCGTAGGCCGCAGTTGCCATGATTGAGACGTCGCACATTCTGAGCATTAGTGCATTTGACTTCACACTGGGATTGGTCTTTATATGAAAATGCCTGGCCCGATTCTCAGGCTGGCGAACCAAGCTTAATTGTGCAGCATTGCACAAGCAGTGGCTGGTGACAGGCTTGACATTGTAAATTTTTGGGGGGGGGTGGTTTTGCGGTTCAAAAAATTGATCATCAGAGTTGACAAAGCGGTGTGTGGCCTGAGTGATCTTAAAACACTGAGTAAAAGTTGTCAACTAGTATGGGCTTCAAGCTGAACCTTTGGTCGGAACTAAACTTTGCTGGTGCACAAATGACCAGGAAGTGCACGCGTCATGGTCGCATCTCTACCAACCAATTGAACACCGCAGACCAATGCAGCTCTTGTCAACCAATGAGGGGGTGCTCCTGTTCGAGGCAGATAGGAGATTCATGAGGGCAATTTATCTTCTACAACATCAACATCTGTCGGAGTGTTTCATGTGTTGACTTGTAAGTTCGAGATGGACATGCCCTCAAGCTCATCCACAAGTGTCGGTTTCTTTGCAGTGCAGCATCTGTTTGGTATCTTCTTTTGTAGCAGTAGCATCCATGTGACTTTTCTTGTAACATTGAGGTCCAAATTATGGTACATCTCCACAAAGACGTGTTCAATTGTAGTGTAGCACCTGATGCCGGTCTTGACATTGAGATCCACGTGCAGTGTTGTAATGAGTCACTAAATTTGGTCACTCAAATTGAGTCACGTCATAACATTGCTACTCGAGTCAAGTCATTAGGTCAAGAAGTTGAGTCGAGTCACTTTGTGTAGTCGAGTCAAATCAAGTACCAAGCTGGAGTCAGTTTGACTTACAAATTTTTGAACAAAATGCAATAACTACAATAGATATAAAAGCAGTTCCTTGAGTCTGATTTCAAGTATTTTTTGCCACAAAATTTTGCTTTTAATTGTTTTGAGACTCGAGTCTTATAAGCTTGTATTCGAGTCTCCATGAGAGATTTAAGTTGAGTTGAGTCACTTGGTCAGAGACTCGAGTTGAGTCAAGTCATTTACCTGTTGGGACTTGAGTCGAGTCACCAAAAAGTGTGACTCTAGTCAGACTCCAGTCGAGTCATTGAGTTATCAAGCCATTACAGCTCTGTCCACATGCCCTCAAGTAAACTTTTCCGTCTGATGCCTTTAGCATCAAAATTCAACAAGGTCACCTATTGGTGAAGTAGTCCACAAGTTGAAGGCCTAGTGCTCTCCAGCATCCACCTGACACCTTTGCTGTAACACTGAAATTGACCTGTCCACAAGGTCATCCACATGTGTCGAAACTCTCTATGCTTCAGCATCCGTCTGACATCTGCGGGGTGACATGGATACATGTGCAGATGATTCACTGGACCGCCAAGGGTGACAGCATTGCCGTTCCTGAACTTTCTTAATTATCTGTGACTGATTAAACTGACCAAGATTTAGAGCAATAGAACAGACACACTCATAAACCCTTGAAGGATGCTTTGTAGGTAATATACCGTACAGCCCTTCCCTTGGTAAACAGCTCCCCCCCACTGGCTGTTAATTTTATTGTCTGAAAATGCTGAGCTTCTCGGGCAAAGTGATGCCAAGGATGTGAGCTGCAATGTAAGTCAATTCACTGTAAGTGGTCCACTGTGTAGATCAGCCAACAGTTGTATGGAATCATGTGCCTAATGCTGTGAACAATCAATGAAACCCAATAACCTTGCCTTTGTTTGCTCTGCAGCCTTATTTGTCGTCGTTACAGCAAGAGGAGGAGTACCAGACGGAACCGGTGGACCTCTCAATGAACGGAACCAGAGGTCATGGCAGCAGCAAGAGGTCGACTGACACATCCGACATGGGTAAGAATTCTCTGGCGCTGGACAGCCCACGTTCGGCCATGTTGGAGTTTAAGAAGTATCTTGCAACCCAGTCATTCCTGTACCCAGGATATCCTGGGCAAGGCTAGACTTCATCAGATCCACCCATTATGGGTAACCCATGCAGTGCATTCAAAGTCTGTGGGATCCAAGAGTGAGCACTTCGGTAACTGATGACGTATTTCTGTACTGTCTGCTACCTTTTTTGTCCCACAAGTCCGTGTGTGCTTAACTTTTTTCCTATCTTCACACTTGGCTTGTGCTGCAATCACTCTGAAAGTACATAGTGTGTTGTTGGTTGTTACTCCTTGTGAACGTTTTGCATTTGGCTCGTAATCCTTTTTCCCTTTTTCCCCCTCTCCTTTCTCAGATGACAGCCCCGTGGACCTGAAAAAGAGAAGCAGTACCATTGTAGGCTCCCCGTCACCTGTCCCACGAAGGCCAGGCAGGGAGGAAGACGACCGGCCAACAGTGACACTGGAGAGCATCACAAAAAGCGGGGCAGGAGCACTCATCAAAGTTGCACAGGCAGCAGAGTAAGTATGACAATCTCACCGAGTATTCAAAAGTCAATAGTGAGGATCATTCTTTCTAATTTGAGGCAGTTCATATAAGGGCTGCAGCCTTGAGAATTGAAAGGGCTACTGACTGTGGTGCCATAGTTCTACACACTATGGGCCATTAGGTTGACAGGCTGTGGCCACTAGGTCTACAGACTATGGGCCATTAAGT